CTCGATCGGTAGATTGTTCGAGTAGCTTATTACAAAAATAAGACCGATTTGACAACCCTAGTATTATGGCATTGTGATCATTTTCTGATGCATCACTTGCGACTACTGGGTTAGTTTCGACACCTTATGGTGTAACGGTTCCTGTTACGAGTAGATATTGTTATACTTTATAATAAAAAAGGAAATGTATGTACCCTTTCAGAGCAATGATTTCACATCTGCTTTAGTAAGTTCATATTGTGTAAAAACAAAATGTTCCGCAACCTGTATCGTACAGGTAACCAGTGCAATGAATATACGACGTTTAGTGCATTTATTATTGTGTGAACGTTAAAATAAAAAAGCATATATAGGACAATGGTACCTATAGGTTTCTATTAGGAAAAGAATAACCCACGTGGGCATGTTCAACAATGTTGTCATTGCTAGCGAGGAACACGTCAAGTAAAGATCTCGAGGTTTTAGTGAAATGTTCATTATGCTCATTAATTAACTGCTTTAAGTCAAATTGATGCCTGGTGTTTTTAAGGGCACAGTTACTCGTCGTTAGCATGTTGTCATTCAAATCACCAGTAATCGGGATGTTCGTAATACCGGCAATAAAAGTAAGTTTCAAAGAAAAATGGATCAAATTCCAATAGTGGTACTTAGTGTTTGGTGGACGATAAAAAGCACCAAGTAGCATTTTTTGTGGTTTCAGTTTAAATTTTAGCCATACTCTTTCGATGTTCCTAATCTCGAGATCTTTAAGCCGTTTTACCATTATTGTTTTCCGAACGTAAACCGCCACACCGCCGCCAATTCGTTCTTGTCTACTTTGACAAAAAGGTGGATATAAATGATCGTGAATTAGATCGTTCAACGACATGTTCCAGGGGTTTAAACACGCTTCAGTGAATTGGTTTCACTGAACGTTGAACATATAAAGTTCAGTAAAAAACACATCAAGTTTAGGTAGATGCTCTGTACGTTTTAATGTGCAATACTTATATGTTTGTCAGCTGTAATATGACCTTGATTACTTTCGACATCCCCATACTGAGCAAGAAGATCATACAAAATTAAGAGGATGCCTAATAATAAAATCGAAATAAGTAAGACATACCAATACTTACTGAATTAAGAGGCATATGTCTTGTTTGAACCTTTTATTATTACACCGTTGTTATATAGAAAGATACAGATAATTATGGGTAAGGCTTTCCATTTCGGCGGAGTACTAGGTTTGCCGCCAGTACAGTCAGTGAATCTAAGCGTTTATGTAAGTGTAAGGTAACGAATAGGTCGTAGAAGCCTCTTCTCGAATGTTTTGTTTGAACCTTTTATTATTACACCGTTGTTATATAGAAAGATACAGATAATTATTGGTAAGGCTTTCCATTTATAGCGGATAACTAGGTTTGCCGCAAGTACAGTCAGTGAATCTAAGCGTTTATGTAAGTGTAAGGTAACGAATAGGTCGTAGAAGCCTCTTGTCGAGTGTTTTGTTTAAACCTTTTATTATTACACCGTTGTTATATAGAAAGATACAGATAATTATGGGTAAGACTTTCCATTTATAACGGATAACTAGGTTTTCCGCAAGTACAGTCAGTGGATCTAAGCGTTTATGTAAGTGTAGGGTAACGGATAGGTCGTAGAAGCCTCTTGTCGAATCAATAATATATTTTAACTTCAAGTGCCGAAAATAATATCTAATGTGGTTTGTATGGCTGTAGTTTGCAAGAAATCTAAATGACATCTATATACTTCGAATCTTAAAGGGCTTTAAAACTAACATGGTGAATCTTACTATGACTTTCATGTTCTCTAACTTATCATACACATACAAATACACTCTTGTCGCATCAATAGCATGTTTTAATTTAAAGTGACGAAAGCAGATCTCATATGATAATTGTCAAATATGTTCTTCTTAATGTGTTTTTTATAGTTTGCAAGAAATCTAAATGACATCTATATACTTCGATCCTTAAAGGGCTTTAAAACTAACCTGGTGAATCTTACTATGACTTTCATGTTCTCTAATTTATCATACACATACAAATACACTCTTGTCGCATCAATAGCATGTTTTAATTTAAAGTGACGAAAGCAGATCTCATATGATAATTGTCAAATATGTTTTTCTTAATGTGTTTTTTATAGTTTGCAAGAAATCTAAATGACATCTATATGCTTCGATCTTTAAAGAGCTTTAAAACATATCTGGTGAATCTTACTATGACGATGCAGTCACTTTTTCAGTCCATGCAATATAATGTTCTGTATTTTAATTTTGTTATACAAGAAGACATTTGTTAGCTGAAGCTCACCACATTTATGCAACTATCAATTTACTCTTTAAAATATATCAAACAGGAGAGGTATAATAGGCTGGGAAGGTTTTTGTATCAGGAAATCATATTTTCTTAAATAACGTTTGATAGCAGAGACTGGTCCATGGTATTGTAGAAAGTTTGTGTTGGTTTGTTTAATCCAGATATATATACACAGAAATATAATTTATAAGAAAGATATAAACATACAGCTCACTATATAGGCAGTTGAAGATGCATGCATCATAATTGGCAGTAAGACACAGGTAACGATATTTAGTTTAAACAATAAACAATATTTATTCAATAATCAACAATATTACAAATACAACTATAAATATGGGATGGGAAAACAAGCTTGGAGCTTATATTAATTCCTTTCCCAAACAAATCAAAAGGCAAATGAATCTTTGGTACTGGAGTACACCTTATTTCAATATGGAATAAATAATAATAAAGTTTAGCAGATAACATATATACATATACATGTGGTGAATAGAATTGATAATAAACATGATTTATGACGCCATACGTTGCTAGTCTGTAAGTACAGGTCACCTTATTGTACTGAGTACCGTTAAATGATACAGCACACTAAGTTTCCATATTTAAAACAATTGATACAAAATTATTAGCTAAAACGATATTTGATTGATCCTTGAATACATTAACATGACATATACATACACACAAGCTCACACACACAACTAAAACTACTCGTGGTTCAGAATAACCCTCACGACCTTAACCATTATTTAAACTCAACATCATAACATGCATCATCATCATCATCATTTCATAGAATGACATCATCATTACACTCCGTCATCCTCACTGTTCGTGATAGTATATACATATGTAATACAAGCCTCCTGTTAATTATAAAATATAATCCAGATGTTTTTACATATCATGATTTGTATACAGATTATAAAAGGTATACAGAGCACATAAAGAGTGGTGTATACAGAGCATAGAGAGTGGTATACAGAATCCATAAAGAGTGATATACGGAGTATAGAGAGTGGTAAACAGAATATATAAGTATTGGTATCAGGCTAGGGGTGTCAGCGTTTAATAAGTTTAAGACTGTGTATCATAATGTATATGTATACTGTTATCATCGTCATGCGCACTATGAACGAATCCTATCTATAAATCATACGCGTGGCCCTTTTTCATCGCCCACCATGACATCTATATTACTTTGAATGAAATGAACAAACTTCTTGCTCGACTATCAATTTTCAATACGTTTAATAAGTTTAAGACTGTGTATGATAATGTATATGGAGATTGTAACCATCGTCATGCGTACTATGAACGAATCGTATCTATATATTTTTCGTCACTATCTAATTTTGAAATGTTTCTGACATGCTCACTATGTACGAATTCTATCTGTGTATAATAATCGGGGACTTATGAATGTAAATATTGCCATGTGCTCTCTACACGTGGTCCCTTTTAAGATGAATGAAATGTACAGGTATTTCACTTTTGAAAAATGTATACTTTTGATATATTTCCATTGGGCATTCCAATATTTGCGTACTAAACAGAGATTAAAGAGCAAGAAAACATACAATCGTTACAAATTCAGAGTATGATATACGGTTAGACTGACACACATCCATTTAGACGATCTTACCAAGAACAGTGGACACGTGCTATGTCAATAAAGCCTGGGGCACGGACGGGGATTAAAACTGGATGACTGGTGGTAGCGTAAACTAAAACTGGTTGAGATCACACAGAAATGCTTTACTGTCCGCTGAGGTCAAATTCTTACATAACGGTGTGAAGTCTGGGGTACGAACGGGGATTAAAACCCGTCAACACGATTGTGACTTGGCAAAAATAGTATACTTCTGTTTTCTCTCAACTCAAAATCATAAAAGAGGAATGAGATTAATTGTTTCTTACGGATAGGTTGGTGTCTAAGTATGGAAGAATGATGTTGTTTTTAGGTGGTTTCTTTGAAATGAGTGTTTCTTACGAATAGGTTTGTGTGTAAGTATTGAAGAATGATGTTGTTTTTAGATGGGAGTTTTTTGAAATGAGTGTTTCTTATGAATAGATTTGTAAGTATGGAAGATTGTATGTATGTGTGTGTGGTTAATTTGAAATGATTTGTTTTTACGGAAAGGTTTGTAAGTATGGAAGAATTATGTTGTTTTTAGGTGGTTACTTTGAAATGAGTGTTTCTTACGGAAAGATTTGTAAGTATGTGAGAATGATGTTGTTTTAGGTGGTTTCTTTGAAATGAGTGTTTCTTATGAATAGGGTTGTGTGTAAGTATGGAAGAATGATGTTGTTTTTATGTGTTTCTTTGAAATTATTGTTTCTTACGGAAAGGTTTGTGTATAAGTATGATAAGAATGATTCATGAGCAATTGAATTTGCATACGACCTTGGAGTTGGGTCCATGATTAGCGACATTTAATAATCCTCTGATCTCTGGGTGGAAATAAACTGGACATTTAATAATCCTCTTATCTCTGACTAGGGTCTTCAAATAGTTCGGGAGTGATTAGCGCGCTTTCTTATTTGGCGCGGTTTTCAAAACGGCAGGGAAAGCACCCGGTGACCTCAAGGTTTCCAGACAAATAAACTGGACATTTAATAATCCTCTTACCCGGACATTTAAATCGCCACCTGAAACGTTGTCGTACGTTTCGGTTTTTATTGTATTTGATTGTCGGTGTGTTTGTGCTAGGTTTATTGTTTTTTCGTCTTAGGTAAAAATTGGCGATGGTTTTTGCTCTGGTGTTTAAGTGAAATTTCCGTGTACCGCAGCCGCTGTGACAGCTTGTCCGCATCTGAAGAGCTGTCCGACCTCAAAGGGAAGACGTAAAACCCATCAACCAACCAATCTTCATATAGTATACGGTGGCACGTGCGCATTAGCGGATCACAGTTTTGGAGAAATAGGCATAGCAACCCGCCAAAGCTCTTTTCGAATTTAATGTTCAATTAAAAATTGATTTCAACTAACGCTATTGGTGACGTATAGAATCAATATGGAACTTGTTCATAAGATAGATGACCAGGGAAATACCATCATATTCAAGCGGTGTCTGGGTCGAACGTTCGACAGAGATACCCGAGGTAATGTTTCCGATCAGCTGAAAGCCATAGCATCGTTTCAGTGCAGGACAGATGATGTGCTTCTTTGTACATTCCCACGTTCAGGTAAGTTTGTAATGGTTAATTAATGTACTTTAGTATGATAGAGATTTAGCACTACATTAATAAGCTTCACTCTACCTGCCTTTGTATGATTTATTTCCTTTTTATACCCCCGCAACGGAGTTAGGGGGAGTATACTGGAATCAGCTTGTCTGTCCGTCCGTCAAAACAACTCCTTTTAAAGTTATGGAGCGATGTTAACGAAACTTTCCAGATTTGATAACTACCACCTGAAGTTGTGTATCCAGGTTTTATTTTTTCGTTCTGACCCTTTTTTTTCGAAATTATCGCCCTTTGTTGAAAACATCCTGAAACATTTTGTCTGGACAACTCCTTCTAAAGTTATGAATTGATTTCATTGAAAATTTCCAGATATGATAACTACTACCTGAAAATGTGCATCGAGGTATTTTATTTTTATACTGACCCTTTTTTTACAAAGTTATTGCCCTTTGTTGAAAAACCCTTGTCCGGACATATCCTCCAAAACTATGGGGCCAATTTCAAAGACAGTTTTCAGATATGATAACTACCACCTAATATTGTGTATCCAGGTATTATTTTTTTCATTCTGAATCTTTTTTACAGAGTTATTGCCCTTCTCCAGAACTTCTGGACCAATTTCGATGAAAGTTTTTCTACATATGTTTCGAAACAGTTTTGACAAGTTTTTACCATTGGGTGACGTTGTCATCATTGATGAGTCCTGGTTTGATATGGCAGCCTTATGGTGCAATACATTTCTACTTTGTTTGGTTTCTGCATAATATGAGCTTCCTTCCAAATTTTAAGATGTTTTAGATAAACAGAGTATACACACATGTCTGATTAGCTTATTTCTTTTAATAACAAACACACATTATGTGAAATATAAAATAGCTAGAGAGATTGTCTGTAGGTGCTGTGCCAATTATCGCCTTTCAATAATGCATATCAACTTTTATTATATATTTATCTATATATTCATTGAAGAATAAAGTAATGTTATATATCAAGAGTATGCAAGAGGATTTGGTAACAAGCTTAAAGTTTGTGTAAAACCATCTCCTATTAAACCAAGGCAGGCGGGTGTTAAACAATGATGTTACTGTCTGAGTACTGATCCTGTGTTTCATAAGTAAATATAACTTAAACCAATAATGGTATAAAGATATACAATGTGCCATGTATACATTATAGGTATAGACTAGGGTAGATAATGTTATATCATAACACAAGTATAAAAGGTAAATATAGTAAGGGTACATTGTAAGTACATTATTGATACGTAAGTTAGTGTTATCGGCTTACGCTAGTAAAGTAACTGCATTGTAATTACATAAGTATAAACGGGTTAACTTAGTGAAGGTAAGTACATTGTTAATATGAAAAGGCAAAGCCTTAATTAGCGAAGCTTTTCTTAATCTCTGATATTTACTGATTCAGAATGAGATAATACTGCTTTCAGAATGAGGTAAGCTAAAATTTATTTAAAGTCGGCTAGTCGAGGGATAACAATAAAACATAAACTCTATTGAGATTAAGACCGACATAATAATAGGGGAGATCGGTGCAAATTCGGCCTTTTTTTATAAAGTCCGTTTTGGGAAGTATGGCAGCACGTCCGTTTTTGAACATTATTTAATTTTCCCTGTCGGATGATCGGATGGCCGAACGAGCCCCGCCATGGGATAAGATCGGAGCGGCATTCGGGTAACTTTGGCCCCATTGGAATCAGCTCAATTATGACGTCATAAAGCATGCAACGACAGATTTTACCGCCGAGTTTACGACTTTTTATGTATTACATGGGCCAATATGTCCAGGCCCAAATTGATATTTCATTAAATTCTTATCGTACAGCAATATGGTAGTGAGTGCTTGGCTTTGCTTTTATGTATATCGTTTGACCGTAAAAAAATAGCAATTCCGTTTACAGAAAGTTTGCATAACTAGAAGCGAGATCATGATTTTCTTTCTTCTTTCTGTAAAGTCATTTTCTCCTGTTTAGTAATTCCACATTAGAGTTTTCCTCGCCATTTTTTCGTGTGAATGCCCAGTCAACTAAACTGCTAAGATCTTTAAAGTTGTAAATATTAGCTCAAAAACAAAAATGTCGAACTTGCCCCGGTCTCCTGTATGTAGATACTTTTTATCGTTGATGATTGGTAAAAATGTATTGGCAATATAATTTTTGCATCAATGACGCCATCTTCAAAGCTAAAGTAGTTATTTGTTGCTGTGCGTAAAATATATGATGGGTCGGGTGGCGCAGTGGATAGCGCGCTCGTCTTCACAAAGATGGCCGGATTCAATCACAGTTACCTGCCCGATCACGCGGGTTTTCTCCGGATACTCCGGCTTCCTCCTAAATTAAGAATTAAAACCTCTGCGTGCTTCCGTCAGGTCACAAAAAGAATGATTGAAATAAGTTGGGGAAAAACTGTTTGGTAATTGCTATAGAAAAAAGTGCATATTACATTTTTGACGATAAGTCTACCAAAGTAAATGTATAGAGATGTTAGTTAAAAAAATGAAATTAAAAAAAGAAAACATTGTAATACTTTAATGTTACTGAGATTCTCGTTATATCGATACATAGTCTGAATTCCTGTTCCATCCTGAAACACCGGAATGATTCCAAGTTTTGTAACTGTCACTGAGGTCTGACAGGTAATGATGCCAAATCAAATTAAATAGTTTCTGTCTGTAACTAGTTATAAATCGGCATGCGTTGTGAAAAAGTGATACTTTGTTGAAAAATGGCGTTGAACTCGGGTTCGTTGTCTGGACAATTATTGTTGATTTCGGCATAAACGAATTATCCATTGTTTCTTTTATGAGTGGTGATGCATACATAAATTATGCAAAGATTATAAACAGACTTTCAAAAATGTTAATTATTTCGTTCATATTCTCAACAAATCGAAATCAAAAGCTGATGAAATTTTTGACGATGAAAATGAAATGTACACGTTGACCTTTAGGTTGATGCCAAATCAAATTAAAAAGCTTCTGTCTATAACTAGTTATAAATCGGCATGCGTTGTGAAAAAGTGATACTTTGCTGAAAAATGGCGTTGAACTCGAGTTCGTTGTCTGGACAATTATTATTGATTTCGATATAAATGAATTATTCATTGTTTCTTTTATGGGTGGTGAAGCATACATAAATTATGTAAAAACTATATTTCGTTCATATTCTCAACAAATCGAAATCAAAAGCTGATGAAATTTTTGAAGATAAAACATAAATGTACACGTTGACCTGTTGGTTTAATGCGGCTCTTTTTGAAAAGATCTCCCGGTAGAAATATTAACAGAACCTGGTTGATGACAAAAACAATCTTCAGAAAACATCCGAGTTTTTACTTTTTGTGCCTGTTGCAAAAACTGAAATTAAAAAGTCATGAAGCACCGATAAAGAGATAAATGCAACAGCCATCAGTTCCAAGATACTCTGGTTATTTTTCATCCTTCCGGAAATAACCGATGAAGGCCAATGGAATGTGACGTGCTTGTGACGTAATATTATGATAATCTCTGAAAGACGTTTCATGCCTGCTAGTATCAAAATGTATGTGACCGTTTTTTTCACTCAGAATGTATATTAGTTTTTACCTAAATAAACAAGTAATAAAACATCGGTATCGTTTTCACTATAGTTGAAACACAATTGTCTTTGCTTCAATGATACACTTCCTGTTTCCCCACTGGACGTCTACTTCCGAACGAAAACAAATAAAGGCAAGATGTAGCAAGGGAAAACAACTCTGTTTACGCGCGCATTTGTTACCAAGAGCTTGGCTTGGGCGCCCGAGAGCTACGCTCTTATTACACAAGTATAATCGGGTAAACCTAGTAAAGGTAACTGTATTGTAAATACATAAAAATCAACGGGTAAACCTTGTAAAGGTAAATACAATGTAATTATCTAAGTATTACCGGATAAACTTAGTAAATGTAACTGCAATGTAATTACATGAGTATAAACGGTTAATACTAATAAAGGTGATTACATTGTACTCACGTAAGTAGATTGTAATATTTGACTGTGCATATAGAATAGATTTTTACATACTACACATACATATATAATTAATCATGTGTTTAGTAACAACATAAAATACAACAGTAGTGCCATGTTTAGGTGTAGTAAGACATTCATATAGTATAGGTATGTACTAAAGTAGATTCATCTCATGTTTCATAAATACATAGAATAACATACATCCACACCGATACACACACTCACACACACACATGTATATGTTTTTCAATTGAAAATATGCAGTGGAATCATGAATTGAATAAACAAAACACTCATTTTTCATTATAAATTCTTGTACAGCCAAAACAATTTCCTCGTTTTTTTGTAAAATAAAGTCTGGACCTCCCCAGAGTAAACAAATAGTATTCAAATCATAATCCGATGTCCAGATGGTTTGTTCTCTTAAATTTGTATACTTTTTACCATACAAATAGAAAATGTAAGTTGTCCTCAATGTAACCACAGGTACAAAAATTATCATCACTAAGATGTTGTTGTATCTTTGAGCAAGATACTTTACTCCGCTTGTTCCAGTCTTCTCAGCTGTAAACGAGTACGTGGTTGGGCAGTGATAGAATTGTAGAATGCTAGCTGTGAGCGCCGAAATGGCAGCACTGGCTATATGCTCCACGGAAAGTTGAGGAAGATATTGGCTGGTTGCAACGGCCCTATAACCACGGATAATTATTTGTGACCCGCTTTGAGACGACCTACAAACTAGGTTGTGATAAAGCGGTATATAAGAACCTCGAATTATGATTATTATTATTTTTATTTTTCTCCAAAAGATGTGCTTGTAAGCTACTACATTGTAATCTGAGTCTGGTATGATACCATTGAGCTTTACAGTTTCCATAGGAACGATAGATTGGCGATTTGTTTCTGTCTCTATCAAGGTATTTTTTAAGGACGGCACAAAATAATTTTCTCTAATGGTGGAATGTAGGTTGTTCCACAGATGAACAGTGGTTGG